TAGTTTGATGTATCACATGCAACTGTTATTCTAACTTGGGCCAAACTTAGCACATTAGTATACAAAGATATTTTCTTTTATTGCGCGCGCGCGCGGACATTTAAGCCTTTGGGGTTGAATTTTTTTAGCGCATATTTGTTTCAAGAGTGTCAGGAAAAATTTTCAAGTGCAATTAATGAAGTTAACATTGATTTACTGTCAAAAAAGTCGCATTTTTTCACAAAAAACGCGCGCGCGCGCGCACTTTTGCTCAGATTCCTTCAAAACCAAAAAATGCACGTAATATACATAATTCTGAGTTTGCATGCAAAAAATCAGCCTCCTACGACAATTCTAAGTTATGTTTAAACACTGTTTAAATTTTCCGGAGAGTAATACGTTTTGTGGCCCCCCCCCTTTTTCATTTTTTTCCTAATAGTCTAAAATTTGAAAATTCTGAAAAACATAAACCCTTGGATTCAGTTTTTAAATCCTAAGCTTATTGTTCTCAATCTAGGCCTGTAGTGGATCCCAACAATCCGGAGATTGAACCTGTCCGATTGGTTTATCGGAGTAATCTCGTTCCAACTCAAGAGGAAACTGAACCTTCCTGCTGTTTCTAACCACCTCCACTGTTTCTAATCCTTCCTGCTGTTTCTAATCCTTCCTGCTGTTTCTAACCACCTCTACTGTTTATAATCCTTCCTGGTGTTTCTAATCCTTCCTGCTGTTTCTAATCCTTCCTGGTGTTTCTAATACTTTCTGCTGTTTCTAATCCTTCGTACTGTTTATAATAATTCCTACTGTTTGGAATCTTTCCTGCTGTTTCTAATCCTTACTGCTGTTTTAAATCCCTCCTGCTATTTCTAATCCTTCCTGCTGTTTATAATTCTTCTTAGTGTTTTTATACCTTATAATGAAAAAATATTTTGGATAAACTGGAGAATATAATCTAATATATTTTATTGTTACAGATAGTAATTTTTAATATTCTTTTATACAAATCTGCAAATAATAGAACGCAACGTTTATTTAAAAATTGTTTACATTGTAAATCTTCTATATTTATATTAGAAATTTATGTGGTAAAATATTAATTATCAGATTTATATAGATTTCAAACAGATTTACCCTTAAAATGTACTTTTTCAACTTCGACCGCTTTCATTTTTCTTAAATGAGATTACACAATGATGCATATCAGGTCCACTCCGATGATAAAATCAGTAATTTTGTTTTAATTTTTCGATTAAATTAAATTATTAGATTTTTTTATTAAATTTAAGTTATAATCGATTTTTTAAATTTAATTTCAAGTTGAATAAATTTTTTGATTAAATTAAAATGTTATACATTTGTCTGTTTGTATGTTTGGCAGTTTGCACAATCTTGAATTATAAAGTCATGGAAAATTTAATTTATTGAAAACTATTTTTATAAATACTGTATATTCTAAAATTGATAAATTTGCAGACCCAAAATGGGGATACGAGGTCTCAGCTCGTATTTCTCTAACAGAGATTCGTTTTTCCAGACAGTAAGGTAAAATAAAAAAATAACATATTTTTGTACAGGGTGTCCCAAAAGACATGGTAATTGAAAGACGACTTGAAATTCGTCATTGAGACTTGTTTTGTAGACTCAGGAAGCGTCCAATACGACATTATATCCAAAAACAATATTTTTTTTCTCCTTAAGAATTGTTTTTCTTTATTTACTCAATAACATTTGTTGCTTACAAATTACTACTATTTCCTGGATTATATGTATTGTTAAAAATCATCATTTTCCTCAAGATATTAAGAGGTTTCTCGCAAAATTTTTGAAAATTTCTGAATTTTCGGGTGAAAGCTTTCATGGTAGGAAAAAGTCCAATTTTTGAGTTATTCCTCAAAATCTTCGAAAATAATTCCCCAAAATAAGTTATTTACTGTTTATATTTAGTCTGGAGGGTATTGAGGTTATAATAGACGCCAACAATCTTCGATACTCCCTGTATAGGGCGTGTCCGGGGACCAATCACGCCTTCGGGGGTGATTATGACAAGGTAAAGGGACGGAGAAACGTCTGTGGTTGTTTACGCAAAGGACTCTCAATTTAAGGTTCACATCGGTACGCCAGAAAGCTTTGTCCGATCAAAAAAGTTTATCTCTGTACAAATTTATCAATTTTATTTATGGTTCCAGCGCTAAAAAAGTAACTTGAGAATTCCAGATTCAGAAACGTTGAAGGAAATCATCAGAATAAGACACTTCTTAAGCTAGAACAAAAACTACATTATCTTAGTCATCGTTTCTCAGATGGAGGTTTCAAAGGTACCGTTGTGAATCCGACATTCCGCTTTTTTATGGTAACTTGAAACATCATCTATATTATAGTCTTAATTTTAAATCACCAATCTCTAAAATGTATGTTTTTGTGCTTTTAAAGTGATATTAAAGGAACTGTAAAGGAAAAGAGGGTATAGGCTTTAAATCTGAGAATCTCAGGAGTTGAACGCTACCTATAAGACATCTATCTGACGTTCCTGCCGCGAAAAAAATACATAAAACTGTGTTAAAATTATACTAAAACGTATATATGTAAGATGTACGTCCATATCACGTGACCAGAACTGCCTCTATTAAAAATGAAAAATTATTAAATACAAATAATAATAAGAGCAAACTGGAGCTTCTCAGGCTCCTCTAGAATATCATTGTTTTCAGATTGGTTGCGTATTTGTTGAAATTGATCTGATTAATACTACAAATCTTATTCAAAATCTTACATATATTTGGTATAATTTTGACAATTTCTCGAGACAGGAACATTAGATAGAACTTTTATTTGTCTCAATCAACTCCCGAGATTCTCAGGTTTCAGCCTATACCCCCTTTCATTTTTCCTAAACAATCCCTTTAAGATATTTCTTTTTTTTCTGTTTAGTATTACCGGTATGTCCGGCACTACTTTGAAACCTTTCTCAAATGCAATATTCGTCCAATTCTGGTTTTTGACGGAGGATACGATGTGTCAGATAACAAACTCAGGTTAGATTAATGGAAAAAAAGCTTTCAATTAAATTATAAATTAGTTATTGATTGACAGATGAATGATTGGTTAAAAATTAATGATATGTTTATTTTGAACCTATTTCATAATTGATGGTGATACTTAATTAGATTGTAATTTTTAACTGATATAAAATGAATTATTTGCATAATAATTAATTTTTAAAGATACTTTTAAGTTAATCTAATGAAAAACTTATGACTGAGAAGATTGCAGATGGCAACTTAAATATTCATTTATCGAATTGTTAATAAATAAATTTTGATTATTTATTAATTGATTGGTTATTTGTTTTCAGAACAACTATATCTCGTGCTAAAGATCAGATTAGATCTTGTGCCGGCTGTAGACCGACTAACCAGGGAAAACTTCAGGTCGATTCTTCCATCATATTTGAAACAGAAATAATTTTCAAGTTCTAGAAAATATCTGCAAATGTTCCAATTTAGGTTTACCCCTTACTCGGGAAGGAAGTTTTTCTCGAGGTTCTTCGAGATCTTGAGATAGAAATCCTCCAAACAGATTTCGAGGCGGATCAGATAATTGCGCAGATGGGGATGGAGCGCGGATGCCCTGTTCTCAGCAATGATTCGGATTTCTTTGTTTTTTCCGTGGATTTTATCCGGTTGGACTCCGTCGATTTGGAGAGAAGTAAAGCAGAAGGAATTAAACCAAACAGAACTGATTTTTTACATGAACAGTAAACACTCCCAAAGTCTGGTTGCTTTCAAACAGAATCTATTTTAATCTAAATTTTTATAAATGTCGGAAGTGCAAAGTACAAATATATATGGAGGGTCAGGTGTAAATAGTTTAAAGAATTTTCGACGATTTCGAGGGGGGGGGGGTGGTCGTCAACTAGCATAATTATCCCCCTTCCCCTTTATAAATTTTACCCAAAACGATTTTTTCTCTCAATTCCAAAAAAATAAAACTTAATGGTTTGAATGCAGGAAGCTTGTGCTGCGAACTGTTCAATCGTCAGAAATTTCTTGAGCACTATAATATTCAAAACTCAGGGATTTGCATAATATCTCTTCTTCGCAAATCATTATTTTTCATTGAGAATTCTTTCAATTCTTAGAAATCAGATATAACAATGTAATGTATCACATTTTACAAAAAATAGTTAAATGTTGATTAGCAGAAGCGCATATTATCTTTTTTTCAGTTAGATTTCGTGTTTTTTTTCTCAACGTTAAAAAATGTAATAAATGTTTATTGCTTACTTATCAATTGAGAAATTCGCCTTATTTATTTTTTTATATTTGTATTGTGCATTTCGTAGAAATGTTGCATTTACTTGCTTCTCTAATAGGTAAACACATCTTTTAAGATTTTTGAAATTTTAAAATACTATTGAGGGGGGGGGGGGGTATTATTGATATTAAAAAAATTTAACAATAATCTTTATGTTGTTGCTATGCAGGATGAAGGTTTTTTTATTGTTATTGGGCCACTAGTTTTTTTAAAAGGGCACTTAGAGTGACTCTCCATTTTAAAAAAAGTGATTTGTCCGATTTTAAAGCTTTGAATGACCATGGTATGATTGTGATTTCTCTATTAATTGTTGATAAGACATTTGATTAAAGATTGTTTTTAAATATTGGGTGTGTCCCGATTTGAAATTATAACGACTGTATCTTAAATCCTGAAAAATGTTCAGGAAATGATTATATTCCTCCCTCCGTCTTCGATATAATATTCTCCAACATCAAGATGGCGAAGAAGACTAAGAATAGTTCAGAACGGCATCGTAAAATACGAGGATTAATTGTTTGGTTGTCTAAGGAAACACAGGTTTCTACGGCCTTGGATAGAATTCTTGGTGAGAAGAGTTTAGGCACTTTATATAGACAGATAGATAGATACATTAAAGCTTGTTAATCCGTTTTGATCCATAGGTTGAATTTAATGTGGCCGAGAGTACACTAAAGAAGAAACTTGACTAAATTATATTATTTAAACTTAAAAAATGAATTTTTTGGATCCAAATTTTAGTACCTGGATCCGGATCTATAAAATAAATCAAAATTATTTTAAGAGTTGCAGCCGATAATGACATTAAGACCTCTAGACAAAAAAAAAGAAATTTTAAAAAAATAATTTAGATCCCTGCAATAAAAAAACGTGTTGTTTTAGGATGTTTCCAAGAAAAGGACAGGAAAGCATTGAAGGAGAAGGTTCTGTGGTCCCTACAAGTATACAAAGGGAAAGGAGAAGTGGGTGTTCAGGAGAACATGTTGCCGCGTAGCTTTCACAAAATATTTGCGGACTGTCGTCTTCCAAGCTGGTGCATGGATATTGCGACCAAGCAAAAATTTCTTCTGCCCTGCCAGGTTTGTGCCAATGTGCAAGAATTCATAAAAAAATGATTAGAATTTTGGAATCGCCTGTTAACAAAAATAATCTAATAATATCTGTAAAATCTGAAAAGACTTAATTAGTCTGATGCCTGATTGATTGATTAAATTTAGGTTGAGAGTTTTGACAAGCCTACAACAATAATGAGTTGTCTTCCTATTCTACAGACAATTATCAACATTGTCAACCCTACCCTCAACCCTGTTATTCTTCAGGTCAATGTTTTTAAACAAATGTTTGTTATTTATGAATAAAGAGACTGTTTTTTTATATATCAGAACGTCATATATATAAGAGATTCCACAATGGAAAATAATCAATTTCTGAAAAGAAAATTATGGTTATGTCAATCATCCTTGACCAGTTAAAACTGTTAAGGCTACTGTTATAAATCGGGCATGGTACTTTCAAAATGGAGGGTCACCAGTCTTTTTAATAACATTTTGTTGTATTCAGGGTCGTGTCAAATACTCCATTGGTAACCTCAATATCTTCACAACAGAAACTTTAAATTCTTCAGGTCAAAATTCTCATTTTTTTTGTTAAGGAATAAAATCTTCGTCCTTACATTTAAAAATTTCGATTTTTAGAAATGAAGAAAGAAGAACGGAAAGATTTGTTCTTATCCAGTCTTAGTTCTCAGCTTACTCCGGAGGAGATTGAATCCGTCCCGGAGGAATTACAAGGACTAGTTCTAATACTGGAGTATTGGAGTAACCAGGAGTTGGTCACATCTGCTCATGTTTATGCAATTCTTTTAGCCAGGTAACATTCTCAGATTTAAAGAGGGGAGGAGTGGAGTTACGATTAAAGGGACAGTAAAATGTAATTTTAAGTGGGCCTCCCATTGTAGATTGGCATGGGTACCATTCAACCCTTTATTTGAGTAAAACCGAGGAAGATATCTTTGGTTTTTCTAAGTGTTTGATTTTGAACGTTTCTTAAATTTGCTTAGGTATAAAAATAAGCATACTTTATTGATCAGGGTACCATTGTGAATCGGACATGCCACTCTATAAACATAGGGTCACTTGACATCTTGTTAACATTCCCTAGAAAAAAAGTGTACGCTTATTCATGAACAGAAAAATCTTACTTGAAGACAGAAAATAACAAAGAATTCTTTTTATCTTAAAACAAATTATTTCTTTTAGATCAATTCTGAGGGAGGTTGATCCACATACTAACTTTGCTAGAAGTGAGAAGAAAATAAAAGAAGAATTGAACAGTCCTAAATCTACTTCGGAGAAAAAACAGTATTTACAAACAATGTCAAAGTACGCAACGCTTTTTCACATGGAGGAGAACATGAAAACATCGACGAAAAAATACGTCAAGGATATCGTTCATTGTTTCGGTGTACTGCAAAGTATTGTTTACACCTCGTCAATACTAAATACTCTACTCGGAGATGTCGTCATTCTTCCCAAAATATCAGAGTTTGTTAGCGGCACGTTTCTGTACAACGTTGTTATGTACATCAGCAAGAAACCGGAACAGCTGAAAGACTGTTTTCTTCCTGAGAAAATGCGCGAAGAATTTTTGCGTATTTTTAACTTGATTTCGAGTTTTCTCCCCAACCTTCAGTCTGTTAACACCAAACACATGAAGAAGAAGAAACCAAAACAGAAAACGGAAACATCAGAATACTCCGACTTTATTGAAAGTGATCTTGCGGAATCCGAATCCGAAACCGGGTTTTTCGATGTGGAAAACCGGTTTAGTGCACTTAAAGTTTCCTGACACTCTAATTCTTATGTAATGTTACAGAGAGAGATGAGTGTGGCTCAGAGTGAGGCTCGGAGCGTGAGCTCCCAACCTGTAGATCCTGAACAGAATCAACTAGAAGCTCTTCTCTTTAAGGTTTGTTGCCTCGAGCTTTTTTTGTTCCCCATAAAACTTTGTTGATTTTTAAAATAGTTGAAAAAAAAATCTAGAAAATAAAGAGAATATAAAACAGGAGACTTTTTGAATTGTGAAATAAGGTATTTTTGTTTAATTGAGGCGACCAACCCCAGTAACAAAGTGGAGGATGTGAATACTATAAAACTATTCTGTGATCATATTGAGAAAATTCAAGGTAATATTTTTTTAGAAATTACTTTATTTTTTTGCTTTTGTAGAAATTTTTGTCTAAAGGTTGATGAAATTCGCTGTTCCATATTATTTCCTTGATCAAAATAATTTAAAAATGTCTTTAAGTATAAGATTGATTAATAGAAAGATTTTTTAATGTGGAGACGATATTCAGATAAAGAAAGAGAAATAAATTGAACTTAAAATGTTTTAAGATGGTGCCATAATTGCTGGTCGACTTCTCTCCCACAGAATACAATCCCCGCAGGTTAGGGTTAAAGAAAGTACAGTTCAAATTCCTTTGGGGGTTAAAGTTAAAAAGAGTCCCTGTAGAGGTTTAAGTAATAGATAATACAGTTAGGCCCTGAAGTCCCTGTAGAGGTTTAAGTAAAAGATAATAGTTAGGCTGTAAAGTCCCTGTAGAGGTTTAAGTAATAGATAATACAGTTAGGCCCTGAAGTCCCTTTAGAGGTTTAAGTAAAATATAATACAGTTAGGCTGTAAAGTCCCTGTAGAGGTTTAAGTAAAAGATAATACAGTTAGGCTCTAAAGTCCCTGTAGAGGTTTAAGTAAAAGATAATACAGTTAGGCTCTAAAGTCCCTGTAGAGGTTTAAGTAAAAGATTATACAGTTAGGCTCTAAAGTCCCTGTATAGGTTTAAGTAAAAAATAATACAGTGTAAGGCCCTAAAGTCCATGTAGAGGTTTAAGTTAAAGATTCTACTTTATATATCACAAGTTTAAACCCAAATCCCAAAATAAAACTTTAAAAATGACGTAACTTGGTATAATTTTTTTATTTGGTTTTTGCAAGATTTTTATTTTTTTATATTGTAGGACAGAGAAGCCCTTCAGGCTCTAGCTGTGGTTGAAGCCGCAGCCAAATCTTCCCCAGCTTTTGTTGTAGAAATTGGAAAATTTAGGTAGACATTTGTAGTCATTTGTAATTGTTGTCATAAAATCATTTGTATTCACACAACCATTTGCAGTCGTTTTTTCTCATTTAATCATCTGTAGTCATATGGTTCTTTTTAGACATTACTCATTTGTAGTCTAATAGTCATCTGTATTCATATAGTCATTTATAGTCATTTATTAATTTGTAGTTATTTATAGTCATTTGTAGTCACATAGTCATTAGAAGTCATTTAATGATTAGAATTCATTTATTCATTTGTAGTTATATATAGTCATTAGTAATCATATAGTCATTTGAAGCCATATAGTGATTTGCAGTCAAACAGTCATTTGTAATAATAAACGTTATTTGTGGTCATATAGTCATTTGTGGTCTTAAAGTCATTTGTAGTCATATAGTCATTTGTGGTCACATAGTCATTTGTAGTCATATAGTCATTTGTGGTCATATAGTCATTTGTAGTCATATAGTCAATTGTGGTCATATAGTCATTTGCAGTCATATATTCATTTGTGGTCTTACAGTCATTTGCAGTCATATTGTCATTTGTGGTCTTAAAATCTATTGCAGTCATAAAATTATTTGTAGTCATGTTTCTCTCAAAACACAATTCAAATCTGGAAACTCATTATAGAAATACAAAAATTTCAAAATCTCTGAATGGTTCACTAAATTTCATCAAAGAAATAAGCGAAAAAAAAAGAAATATTTTGGAAATTTTTTTATTTGTTGAAAAAGTCAGTTTATCTTGAAGAAATTTTCAGTACCTGGATACGGATCCTGGTTTGGATCTGGATCCGGATCTGAATGAAATTGATCCTAATGACTGGTTTTTACTTTCTAGGTTTTTGAATGAGATGATAAAATTGATATCTCCTAAATACCTTGGCTCTAGAACCTCAGATTCAGTGAAGATGCGGGTTATCGAACTACTCTTCTCATGGACTAAACAGTTTCCACAGGTATACACCCCCCACACCTAGAACCTCAGAGTCGGAGAAGATGAAAGTTATAGAACTCTATTCTTCCAGTGTGTATCCGACCCTCCCAACGGAAAGGTGTCAGCTAATGCTCTCTAAGCCTGTTGAGGCGCCTGCAGGCTATAATGGGGGGGGGGCATTGCACTTCAACTAGGATGGGCTAGTGGGCCGAGCGCTGTGACTAGGATGGGCTAGGGGGCCGAGCGCTGCCGCTAGGATGGGCCAGGGGGCCGAGCACTGCGGCTAATATTTGTTTTAAAGAACATAGTAAATTTTTAGAGGAATTATTACTTGGGAAAATGTACATTTGGGAAGTTGCCACTTTTCCTTCATGGGGAAGTTGCCACTTGAGAAATTGTCATTTGGGAAAATGTATATTTGGGAAGTTGCCGCTTGTGAAATTCCACATTTGAGAAGTTGCCTCTTGGGAAAATGCCCGTGGGAAGTTGCCGATTGGGAAACGGCCTTTGGGAAAGTACCTAACATCCCCAAGACAGGCCCTTGTGTAACTCCTGTAAGAATGTCGTCAAGGGTTGACCTGTCGACACCATTTATCACTGTAAACTGTTATTATTAAGATAATTTTTAAATCAAGTCTTTGCAACACCACGAATTCCAAAGTGCGACAGCTTGCTTAAAATTATATTTTAGAAACAGATTAAACTTATTCATGTATTTAACCATTTTAGAGTAAGCCATCTTTTCTAATAGTTTGCTAAAGGTTGATAATAATGATATTGGTCGATAATTGGTAAATAAGTCACCTGATTTAAAGATTGGTTTAACCTTAGCTGTTTAAGTTCCACAGGGATAAACCCCGTTTTAAATGAAAGATTAAACATTTGACTCAGGGGTTTAGCTATATCTAATATTATTTCCTTTAAAAGCTTAGCTGATAAGCAATCTGGACCAGAACTAGACTTAGATTTGAAATCAGATGTAGACTTAATAATAATATCCTCTGTTATATTTGCAAAAACAAAGTTTTCATTCATTTAAATAATCCTTGAAATGTTTTTTAAAGTTAGGAATATTACTAGATAGATCTGGCCCAACTTGAGTAAAAAATATATTAAACCCTTGAACCACATTCATTTCTCCATCTATTCTACTTCCATTATGCATAAAATAATTCGGTATACTTTGCCTATCCTTCTCCCTCCGTATAACTGAATTAATTGTGCTCTATAAAAGTTTTTATAAAAAGTAACAAATGATAATCAAAGGAAAAAGGAAAGTATAGTCAAAACATGAGAAAACTTCCATAAAGTATTTATTACAATCATTTGGCTGGGGTAATGCTGGTTGATTGGTCGATTTCTCAAATAAAGGATAACGACATTCCGCTGACGTGTAATCATTTGATGACGTGGCACAACAATATTCCAAATTACTTGGGACTTTATGTCAGTTGAGGGTTGACACTGGACTGATCATAATGCAAGGATTTGGAAATAAGGAATATTTCTTCTTCAAAATTATCTACAAGAAAAGAATTGAATCATCTTGTATGGTCCATGCTGAGGAAACTGATCTTGCTCTCGTCCAGAAAGTTGTTATGTCGACTGGTCGGGATGCAGAATGGACTTCGCTATCACCTATAGACGCTGACCGGCAGGCTAAAATGGAAAAAATATGTTCTGGTCTGGACCCAGAGACCCATCCGCCGGCTAACACTCTTACCTTGGAGGAGGTGGTAGTAAAAGTGGTGGATAGCTCGCTGTGGAATGAGTCAAAGGTTACCAAAACGCTGAAAGGGTGGGTACATGAGAGGGTGAACAGCTATTACAGGGATAATCTCTCCAGCCAAGCAGAGTTCCCCCCAACCCAGGGTTGTGACCAGCTCGACAGGCTGAACCGTCAAAGGGGGGATGGTGAAGATGTTGAAATGGGGGGAGAGAAGGAAAAAGGTAGTGGTGCAGAGAAAAACAATGGAGCAGGGAGTAATAATATGACGTTCACTAAGGAGGACCTCGCAACCATGCTCCAGGTGGTTATGGAAGGCCTCGACAGACTCTGGCGACAAAACGAGCAAACCCACGAGATTATGAGCGAACTTCAGGAGGTGGTGGATAGAGTAGAGACCAACCAGAAGGCACTGGAGGCTGGGATCTCTGAGTTAGCGTTGAAACCAGGATCATCTCTGAAGAAAACGTATAGCTGCTCCTACTGTCTTGCCAATGACCACCGTCATATCGACTGTACAGTGAAGGCCCCATGTCTAAAGTGCGGGAAGGATACCCACCAGTATGATGCCTGTCAGTTCGGTGAAGAGATGATCTGTAGAAAATGTAGGACCCCTGGGCATGCTGCTCTCCTCCACCAAGCTGTAGATCCTGATTTCCGTCTCAAAATAGTGACAGAATATGGCAACGAAGTTTTTGGTCACTTCTGGGCATCGGAAGATTCCCTTAGTGCAAGTGCAGCCTGGGGAGTCCAGGGGAAGAGGGAATATGGGGACCAGCCATGGACTGGAAGTAGAGGAAAGGGACTAAAGAGGCTGGGACGAGGGAGAAGGAACTAAACCAGTAGGGAGCTTTTTGGATGCGGCTAGGAGTCAACTCAATCCATCTATTATTTATCTACTAATTAATTACAATTTTATTGATGTATGGGTCAACACATAAGTGACTCAGTTTTATCTCATCATGCTTTATTCGCTAATTCTGTTTTATCTCATTGTGCTTTACTTCGCTTTCAATTGTGCATAAATACATTTAGCCTTAATGCAAACTGTTGTTGATGCTTTGTTATAATTGATGTTCACCAAGGCCTCTGTCATATACTGAACTGTTATTTGGGAGGGGGGGGGGGGTTAAATATACTAATTTAAATACAGTGGCTGGAAAAACAAAGATAGAGAGTCAGAGGATCCTAGTTAATTAATGTTAGATTATAGAGGGTGAAAGTACAAACATAGAATGTCGGCTTTGGTCACAACTTTTATCAATTACTTATTTTAATACAGTGTCTGTGAAAGTAAAGATAGAGAGTCAGAGGAGCCTAGTTAATTAATGTAAGATTATATAGAGTGAAAGGACGAACATAGAATGTCGGCTTTGGTCACAACTTTTATCAATTACTTAATTTAATACAAGGTCTGGGAAAATAAAGATAGAGAGGCAGAGGAGCCTAGTTAATTAATGTGAGATTATATAGAGTGAAAGGACGAACATAGAATGTCGGCTTTGGTCACAATTTTTTGAATTATTTTATCTATGTAGTATTACTGTTGAATATAACGAACTCACATGGTTAAACCAGGCAGCTTAGGACACATGAAAGATAACAAATATAAAGATTCATGGTATCCAATGTGAGATCCTTTTTTGTTGGAAAATTAGTTTATCGGATTAACTTGTATAATCATAGTACACGACATTTATTACTCAGATTAAAAGTCAGTTCAGTTTTTAATATAGGTTGAAGTATAATGATAATTCAAGGTTCTAGTCGGGCTGTCTGGGCCCCATGAAAGATGACAAATATAAAGATTCATGAGTACTAGTAACTTAAATGTTAACCTTTTTGGCGGAAGGTTATATGGGCCTTCAGTGAATGAATATGACGAGGGTCTTTGAGATTGCTATAATTGTCGTCTTTGAATTTGGGATTTTAGAAACTCGGTTTTAAAGGAATTCTCAGCGGCAATGAGTACTGAGTATACAAAACACATATATAAGTTACATGCAAGTTTAAGGTATTTAAGTATTTGGTCATTAATCCTTGATCCCTAACATTGTCCTATATCGTCATTTACCATTTTACTTCCTTTTTCACCTTTTCAATATGATGGTTTGTGTCAATCATCACTTCCTTTTCCGGCCTCCTTTTATATCCCATTTCTGTCCTTTATCATTAATAACGTTTATTCCTTTTCATTTTTCTTTGGCTCCTTTATGGTTTTATCTTCTATTAATTTTATTGTTTATTTATTGTTTATTTTACTTCTCTTTGGCTCCTTTGTGGTTTTATTTTCTATTAATTTTATTGTTTATTTATTGTTTATGTTACTTCTCTTATTCCTAATTTATTTTATTTTATTCCATCCTTATTCTTAAAGTTCGTTTATTTCTTTTATTTCTATTCTATTTTTCTGTCCGTTTATTTCCAATCAATTTTCTTTTAGTTTCCATCCATAAAATTCGCTTATTCCTTTTATTTATATTCTAATGATCTATCCATGTATTTCCAATCAAGTTCTGTCCCTTAGTCTTAAAGTTCGTTTATTTCTTTTATTTCTATTCTATTTTTCTGTCCATTTATTTCCAATCAATTTTCTTTTATTTTCCATCCTTAAAATTCCTTTTATTTTTATTCTATTTTTCTGTCCATTTATTTCCAATCAATTTTCTTTTATTTTTCCATCCTTAAAATTCGCTTATTTCTTTTAATTCTATTCTATTTTTCTGTCCATTTATTTCTAATAAATTTCTGTCCCTTTTATTCATGCCTTAAACCTTCTTTATCTTTCATTTCCTTATTCCATCCTTAGTCATAAAGTTTGTTTATTTCTTTTATTTCTTTTCTATCTTTTTATCCATTTCTTTCCAATCAATTTTTTCTGTCCCTGTATTCATGCCTTAAAGCTTCTTTTATCTTTCATTTCCTTATTCATAAGCGTGTTTTTTTTCCTTTTTATATTCAATTTTCTCTCCTCTTTTGTTGTATCTTCTTTTAATTCACCATTCTTAACTCCCTACCCTTTTTCTACTTTAACAATTTTTCACCCCCCCCCCCCTAATCAATCGCTTTCTTCTAACCTTCTTTTAATTCTCTATATTTTTTCTTACCATATTCCCTTCTTCTAACCTCCTTTTAATTATCTATATTTTTTCTTAATATTCCCAGCATCTGTTCATTATAATTTCATCTTTTAATTCTCTATATTTTTTTCTTAATATTCCCTGCATTTATTCATTATATTATCTTCCAAACGGCCAAAACCTATCCTTTTCTTGTTTTCAACCTAGCTTAGTGAACTGTAGTAACTCATTTTCAGAGCAGTTATAATGGCTCTGATTGTAAATGTGTCGGAGGCGGGAGTGTTGGCGTCTATCTTCTATATGGTAAAAGAACCTGCTGCGGAAGTAACTCTTACAGAATATCTAAGGGCAGGGGGTTGTAGTGTTTCTTTTATTGAGGTCTCGAAGGAATATGGAAAAGCAAAGTTCAAGATAGAGTATGAGTTTGACAAAGTGAAACGCTGTAACTCCAGGGCACTGATGCCTAGTAAGCTCATGTCACTAGTTGAAGTGATTGATGAACTAATAAACATGGACTGTATTAGTAAGTCATCCTTGGGGCGGGAGCATGCAAGGGGGGTTCGCAAAACCCGGAGTATGGTTAGGGGTGAGTCGGGAGGGGTGGTAGTGGTGCAGGACACGGATGAAGAGGATGAGGATGATGAGGGGGAGACCGGGTTAGAGGGAGCAAAGAAAGAGGTTGAACATTCAATTGCGCTGGTACCGGTGATGGAGACCCTGGGAAAGATCTTAAATAAGATAGAGGCGCAGGAGAAGAATATGCAGACGATGAACAGGACCCTAGGAGACCTGGGTAATAAAGTGGGGAAACTGCAAGAGATGGGTGAACGACAGGAGGCAGACCTGGCCGCCATCAAGGCCGACTTAAAGGCCCGGCCAGGTCACTGGTGCTCGTTCTGTAAGTCGTCAACCCACGCACTTGAGGATTGCCGCACTAAGAAAAAGAAGGCAGCCCTAGGGGCAGCCCAGTGTGCTGAGTGCGGGGGGGACAACCATGCCTCAACACTCCACTTCGTAACTGACCAGAAAATTAGAGATAACATTAAAATAAAATTTGGAGCTAATTTTGTCTTCAATAACTAACTAACTGTTAGCATATGCTTTATGGGTTTTAATGCTTCCTGTTTTTCAGATATTATTGGTTTGAGATAAACTGACGGTGTGGGGCCTGGGATAAGCATGGGGAGAAAACGGGCGGGAGCCCGCGCCAAATGGTTACGCTTAAGAGCTAAGCCAGTCTCTAAGCAAACAACATCAGGTTTTAGCTTAAAATTAGCATACTGGAACTGTAATGGGATTAATTCTCTTAGTAAACAACAGGAGATTGTGGAAGCTATGGCCTCAATGGAGTTGGATTTAGTGTTTATAGATGAAACTCACTTAAGAAAGGGCACAAATGTGGACATGTCGGTGTTTGCACCATGGTCGCCAACTTTCATAGAACGTGATTTCAGAATGAAGTCCGGAGGTGGAAAATTAATCCTAAAATCTGATAGAGTAAACTGCAGTGAGTGGTCCGCAACGGGGACCGATAATGAATGGATTAATAGCGAAAGATCCTGGTTGCTGGTCCACTCTGGGGGTTGCAAGCTAGCCATTTGCTCGGTGTACATGGCTGCTGAGGTTTCAGCTAATAATGACTTCCTGGCATGGAATGATTGTCTTTACAGTTCAATTCAGGGTGAATTGAAGGGTTTTCAGCAGACAGGATATAAATGCATAATCATTGGGGATATGAACGCTCATGTAGGGGATATGCAAGAGGGAATAGTTGGTAACAGGCCCGGAGTGAACCTAAATGGCAGAAAGTTGCTTAACTTTGTCAATAATAACGGGTTAGTTATGCTCAACAAGGATAAAAGTATTTGCTCTGGAACATTTACAAGAATTACCCCGGTATCTAGTTCTATTCTAGACTATGTCTTAGTAACCCCAGATTTGACTAAGGAAGTGGTCGGAATGGCCGTTGATGAGGATCTGGCTCTCTTCACTGGTAGTGATCATGTGGCGATAACTGTAGACTTGCTTTTGGACTGCCAGCAGGAACCTAGTCCTGATAGGGCCAATGCCGGGCTATTCCTGCGTCCAGATAGAGACTTGTCAAAAGCTAAGGCAATCATGGACGTCTATCTTAGCGATTGTAGCTGGGAAGATTTAACGCTAGATGACAAATGTGTTAAACTACAAGAGATCTTGGTAGCGGCGAACACGGAGGCCTATGGGGGGGATAAGCCAAAAAAAGTCCGGAAAGTAATGCGCATTAAAAAACTGAGAGCTAGAAAGCAAACTGCTGAAAGGAAAAGGAATAGATTATCTTTGATCAGGGCAAAAAAGAAACTCATAAATGAGGATCTGTCTGCTCAAGAACATGATCAATTAGTGGCCGCAGCTATAGAATGTAACGACCTTAGTGAGGAGATTAAGAAGAAAGAGTTAGAGATTAAACTTGATAAGAGGAGGTCGGTTAGGTCTAGAAAGTCTAATATTGATAAGCAGTTTTGGAATCTTGCAAGAAGAGTTGAGAAGAAGAAAGGGCTGCTTTCAGCTATCAATGATTGCGACGGGAAATTAGTTACTGAGTTTCTGCAATTAAAAGACACTGTGGTGACGGAGATGGCCAAGGTTTCTTTGGGTCAAACCTCAAAAATCTTTATCTCTCGAGGTCAACAATTGTTGAAGGAAATTTCAGTAAAGAACGAGTGCGCATTCGAGAAATGGTGTCCAAAGGAACGGGATGAGTTTGAATATCAGGATGAGGTCTGCCAGCCTGTTGGTGTGGCAGATGTCATGGAGGTAATCAAATCCCTTAAGTTAGACAGAGCTCCTGGTATAGATAATGTCACGCCCTCAATGTTAAAAAGTGCGAGCACATCTTTTATAGGGAAATTGACTGATGTAGTGAATGAGTCCCTGGAGGAGGGTAAGGTTCCAGCCTCCCTTCTAGTGGGTAAAATGACCCTTATTGACAAAAAAGAACCGTCACTAGAGGTGGCTAAGAAACGCCCCATTACAGTTTCAAGTGTGATGCTCAGTATGGTTACCAAAATAGTCCAGAAACGAATGGATTCCATCTGTGAAAGGGAAGGCTTCTATGGACCGGTGCAGTATGGGTTCAGAAGCAGAAAGTCAACAGTCGACTGTGTGTTTATGATACTGGCCGCATTACGTAAGGCAAAAAGGAAGCACCAGTCAATTTCTTTGGCTTTCTGTGATATTGCGAAAGCTTATGACTCAGTTTGCCGGGAACTACTCTACACAAAGCTTCGGAGTATTGGTTTTGGAGGGAGGGTAGTGTCCCTTATTCGGTCGATGTATTTCAATGACTGTGTGCGGATTAACTTAGCACATGGATTGACGGAACCGTTGTTTTTCACCCAAGGGGTTAAGCAAGGGTGCAGCCTATCCCCTTTACTGTTCGCTCTTTATATTGCGTCCCTAGGGCTAGCTCTGGACAGTTCTAAGCTTGGGGTCAGGCTAGGAAAAGCTATGATAACAGCTATCCTTTTCGCGGACGACCTGCTCTTGCTATCTAGAACCCCTAAGAGAGGAATGAATAAGCTTCTTAGAATTGTTTCAAGATTCTGCACGGACATGCACATGAAGCTTGCCACCTCTAAGACCTACATCCTTACCAATGCCCCAAATGAGACTTCTTGGAAGGTCGATAACGTCACTATTGAAGAGATTTTAGTGGCCAAGTATTTAGGGGTGACTATCCAGGTACGCGGCAGGTCTATGATTGGGGTGTATGAGAAGGACATGATCAGGAAGGCCACTAATTATGCTTACGCCATAATGAACATATCAAGGGGAGCCCTTGATAGGGCCATGGTTGCCAAGAGACTCTGGGAGTCGTGCGCCATCCCTTCAATCCTGTATTGTGTGGAGGCTGCGATTCTTAAGAAAGCTACTATTGTAGAGCTAGAAAGACTACAATGCATGGTAGGTAGGTTTATCCTTCAGATACCTCACTCATCCTCTAAGGTACTCACCTGGATGGATGCAGGCCTCATGCCTATGGCACACAGAATTCAGACCAGACAAGCTCTGTTCATCTGGAGTATTCTGAAATCCAAGTTCAATACGCTTCTATTGGAGGTGTTACGGGAACTGCTGGATCACCCTACAGACCCTTGGGTGAAATCCTGGATGGAGATTCAGAGGGAGGTTGGGTCCATTGCAATGTTCTCAAGCAGAAAGGAGTTGCAGAAAGCAATGTCAGATAGAGCTGTGAGATTTGTGGTATCAACCAAAAGAGGTCATTCCTCTGCTGTTGCAGCCTCCCAGCCGTGGAAGTGGTTCCGACTTCAGGGTTTTGTGAACGATTCCAGGGCGAGTAGGACTCTGTGCAGGGTTCGGGCTGGTAACGCAGAGCTAGGTAACAGATACAAGGATAGATACGGCTGTACCCATGTTTTGTGCCCATGGTGTCTCTCAAAAGGTGTCCGTGCCAGGCTAGTAGAGTCTCACGTGGTCCTTATCTGCCCATGTGTAGCGGCACAGCGTAGGGATTTTGGGATTGCAGATTTTCACTCAAGCTATGCCGGTCATGGTAAGAAACCTCTATGGCAGATTCTCAGGGCTTATCTTGGGGGGGATGGGTCAGACCAAGTAGTCTTACTTGAAAGAGGGAGGAAAATGGCAGTGTTATTGGAGTCATGGCTGGTTAAAAGTCATGAAGGTGATCTGTAGGCCGATAGCTTTCAAGGTGGGTTTTTTGTCAAACAATCTTAAATCTTATATCTAATGTTTAAACCATTATCAAATAGTAATCTAATAAGCTTTTTATTAACTTCATACTGGGGTAGTACCGAGATGGACTACTCTGGGGGACTGTTAGTGTGCAGTTGGGCGGTGACTTAAGTCATTGGTCTGTACTTCGACAGTTGGCCACACTAGACAGTGTGTCACCAATTGGTACATTAATAGCCATTGTGGCTATTTTTGATGAGGTCTCAGCCCTGACTTCTACGGAATGATGGTTGATTGTTTGTTTGTTTGTTTGTTAATATCATAATTTTATGTTTTAAATCTATCCTTGTAATATGAAGACCTTGAACTACGAAGTAAACTAGTGTACAATTTATTGTAATCTCTCTGTACTTAAACTAATTTTCAGTAGTAGGTTTAGATATTTTCTTTATTATTTGTTAAAATGTGAACAGTTCTAATTCCTTTTTTATTAATATATCAAAAGGTGTAATAACTTGTTATTATTGCAGGAGAAGAAAATATGTGAAGCGTATTCAATGCTAAAAGGACAAGGAGTTATACAAGAAGATCCTGTTCATGTCAAACATGCTGTATTTGCTGCATCCCTACCTCCACGGTATTTATTGCTCATTTAAATTGTGGAAGCTTTAGAAGTACATTTAATGCGGAGTTTATAATCCTCTTTCAGGGATTTTCACTATTAACCTTAAAAATATTATTTGCAATTCGGAAGAAAAGGTTGACAATTTACCTCTGGGTTTGTACGCGTAATTTCAAGAAACCCTTTATTTAAAGATGGCAATACCTATGAAACCTTTATCTGATCAATAATGTGGAAGATATTTTAGTTTTTCGAGGTTAAAAAGTGCTTAACTCTGATAATTCCTATATGTAGAGAAACCTCATAGGAAAATAAGTTGATAAAAAGTGATATTTGATCAAACAAAGGTTTTGAGGGTACCAATCAGACAAAGGTTATGAGGTAACCAATCAGACAAAGGTTTTGAGGGTACCAATCAGACAAAGGTTTTGAGGGTACCAATCAGACAAAGGTTTTTAGGGGACCAATCAACCAATCAGACAAAGGTTATGAGGGTACCAATCAGACAAAGGTTATGAGGTAACCAATCAGACAAAGATTTTGAGGGTACCAATCAGACAAAGGTTTTGAGGGTACCAATCAGACAAAGGTTTTGAGGGTACCAATCAGACAAAGGTTTTGAGGGTACCAATCAAACAAAGGTTTTGAGGGTACCAATCAGACAAAGGTTTTAAGGGTACCAATCAGACAAAGGTATTGAGGGTACCAATCAGACAAAGGTTTTGACTTTTGAGGGTACCAATCAAACAAAGGTTTTGAGGGATCAGACAAAGGTTTTGAGGGTACCAATCAGACAAAGGTTATGAGGTAACCAATCAGACAAAGGTATTGAGGGTACCAATCAGACAAAGGTTTTGACTTTTGAGGGTGCCAATCAAACAAAGGTTTTGAGGGATCAGACAAAGGTTTTGAGGGTACCAATCAGACAAGGTTATGAGGTAACCAATCAGACAAAGGTTTTGAGGGTACAAATCAGACAAAGGTTTTAAGGGTAGCAATCAGACAAAGGTTTTAAGGGTGCCCAATGGGGCATTCAGCATTGTCAGTTTTGCACGGAAGGTCACTTGAAATTACGCTTAATTACAGCCCCCTTAAACAAGATCATGGGTAGCTTCAATACGTCTTAGTAAAATATAAGGAAATCCTCCTCCTCCCCACTTATGTCTAGGTCAGATTTGAAATTAATAAAACAAGTTTTTGAATATTTTGTCTTTTTTGTTAATATTTTGAAATACTAGGGAAGCAGATCTAAGTGTGGAGGAATCTGCCAGGTTACAGAAACTACTGCATAGTGGTAATCAACAGGATTTAGAGAAAGCTAATCAAATTATTCAGGTCATAATTTAGTTACAGAAAAAATCAATTTTTTCTACCAAAAATTAGTTTTAAAGTTTAGTTATAGATATTCAAAACAATTACTTAATGCATGTTCTCGTAGAGTATGGTAAGAAAGGAAGAGGAGAAATTAGAAAAAGCTACTAAACAAGCAAGTCAACTTCAGGTACTCGGAACATTTTAAAGCCAAAATCTATTTATAAATTCAGCTTGTCTGTCTGTCTGTTTGTTTGTATCCAATAAACGTCAAAACGGCTGAACCGATCGGGCCCAAATTTTGAGTGGGACCTCACGTGACTCCAGGGAAGGTTTATGATTAATGATTAAAATGTTAAAAAAAATTGTTAAAAAGTTTTTATTTTTGTAAAATTTTGAAAATGCGCTAATAAATAATATAAAAATCGTCAACTTAAAAAAAAAAAATTTATACTGTACAAAGAGTAGATGCTCGCAGATAAAGCCGCAATTAAAAGTTAAAATAGAATACTTATAAATTCTTAAACTTAAATTCCAGTGAACCTGAATATTTGGTATATTGTATACACCACCTTGCAAATTGTATTAAGAAAGCCGTTTAACGGGTTGATGTATAGATTCTTTCAAGTAACGCCGTTATGAATAATTACAACGATAATAATGATACTAGGAGGTTCAAGCAAGTACCCGGCTTCTCTCCGACATGTTGGAACAGGTTGAAGTTGGACAGGTGGCGGCGGAGGATAGAGAAATCATGGCGGAGCTTTATTCGGCTTGTGAGGGATGGCGACCAAAACTATTTCAGCTGGCCGCCGAAGCGGAAGAAAATGATCCTGTCATAGGTAATATAGGATGGAGAGAATGTCTTATCTGAATTGACTGTCAAAGGAAGTTTTATAACAATTCTCAATGATACAAAATAACCCCTAATTTTCATGGTTTTTCTCTTTCATGGTATTTTGAAAAGCCATAATTTACAGGACTGCAAGCGTAATTTCAAGTTACCCCTCCTTGCAAAGATTCACAGCGGTACCCTTTCAAGCTTTGTCTGATTCGTCTGATCAAGTTTGAATGATTATATCATTGTTGACAGTTTTGAAAACTTATTTTTAATTGTGGTTTCTCTACAAAATTAACTTGCAGGAAAATATAGAAGAAATGTAAGAATGAAACTTTTTTAAATATAGAAAGACAACAAGATCTTCCACATTGTTGATCAAAGTTTCAAGGGTACCGTTGTGAATCAGGTATTGCAATCTTTTCATTGAGGGTCACTTGGAATTGCGCTTACAGTCCAATTAATACCTGCAAAAGTAGAAAAGAGTACCATTGTAACAATAATTTACCTTCTAATGGAAGTTAACAAAAAAGTTTTTTCTACAACATTTAAAATAAATTCTTTAGGTGATATATTGTATGCTAGTGATGAGATGTCCAGAATAATTGATAAATATAAAGATTTAATAATTCTCAATAAAACGAACAGGTAAATTGCGATTAATGAAAAAAAAACTCGATCCCATAGAATTAAAAAAAACGTTGTTTTTAATTTCAGATCAGAATCAAGCAGTAATCATAACCTATTAAATATTGCCCCGAAACCTTCATCGAGACAAGATCTTTTGGAAGAGTTTCTTCTGGGTCAAAATGGCGGAGATAATCCCACGTCGCACATACAGCTCACCGCTGAAACTTTTGGCGCCATTTCATTAAACCAATATGGCGGACATTTATTATCTGATACAGCTAGCGACAATAGTTCTATGTTGGGAGTGGAAGATTCTCAATTTGTTGGAGAGAAAGATGAAATATCTCCTCTCAATAATCAAATTAAAAATCTAGATCTCCACAAGATGGCGGAAAATAATCTCTTAATGGAGGAAAATGGCAATGGTGGGATAAAAGATATTTTCTCAGGTTTAGTAAATTTTCATATCAAAACAATTTTTCTCACTAATTGGTTTTATCATTTTTCCATAAGATATGGACTATTTTTTACCTTCTTCTATAAACAGTTTTATATATTAGAGTTTGGATTATCTGAGAACAATTGTTCCTCTCTTCCCCCAGTCCTCCAAGATCTACTATCTGATGGACCGGATCAACAGTGTTCTCCTAATGAATTTATCCTCCCTAATCTTCAAACCAAAGGAAAAATTAGCGACGAACTGAACCAGGTTGGTATTTTTTGACCAATTAATAATTTTTCAAAATATATGTATTTATAATCTTAGTTTTGTTTCAGCGTCGAAGAGGATTGGATGAGCTTGACTTACTCGGAGAAAATGCTCTTCGTGCGCAGCTCCCGGAGCATAAAGAAGCTGGGTTCATTGCTAGAAAGCAGGAGAAGCTGCCCCTGAAAGAGCTTATGAGACAAAGTAGCTCAATGTCACAGTTTGAAAGCCAGGAACAGCAAACTCCGCCCCCTTATCCTACCACGCCTACAAACCAAACCAAACCTAAGTCAAACCAAACTTGTTCTAGTCTTGAAACAAACCAAACCAATCCAAAGATTGAAAAACCAGTTCCTCAAGCATTGTTAACAAACAACTTCGACCCTGCACCTAAATCAGAGGTTAAAGTAACCGAGGTTAAACTCCAAGATATAAAGTTGAGGATGGAGGATGTAGTCCCACATCCTGCACTGCCTCCACTTGACCTGCAGGCAGAGGGTCCGGTCTCCCTGGTCCTCCATTATTCATGTACTGTCCCGGCACCTGGAGTTTCCGTACATGTTGTACAGTTTACAAACACGGGCAAGCTACCAGTAAGTTTTTTTCTGTTCAAGGTTTACATATACATGTTTTGTAATGAATAAAGTTTGAAACAAATTCTGAATGGCCGGGTTAAAAAGAATTAAAATCATAAAAGCCATAAAAACTTGATCTTGTAGAACTAAATGTATTGAAACATATCAGTGATTCCATACTATTTTCTTAGTGAAATTCTTTTGTTATTAAAAATTGTTATCAACAACATGCGACATTTTAAGGATAAATCTTGAGTATTAAAAGATAGTTTTGAAAAACCGAAAAGAAAATCTTTCAATGAAAATGGAACTAATACACTAGTTTCCTTTAATGGATATATCTCTAGGTTGAGGAATTAGAGTTTAAAGCAGTTGTTCCTAAAGGTTGCAAAGTCAGACTTCTACCAATTTCTAGTAATCACCTTCCGTCTCCTCTACCATTCTCCCCTTCTCCAACCTGCAATCAGGTAATCTCCTTCCTTCCCTTCTCCAACCTGTAATCATGTAATATCCTTCTTCCCCTTCTCCAATCTGTAATCATGTAATCTTCTTCCTCCCCATCTCCAACCTGTAATCATGTAATCTCCTTCCTCCCCTTCTCCAATCTGTTATCATATAATCTCCTACCTTACATTCTCCCCTTCTCCAACCTGTAATTATGCAATCTTCTTCCTTCCCTTCTCCAATCTGTTATCATATAATCTCCTACCTTACCTTCTCCCCTTCTCCAACCTGTAATCATGTAATCTTCTTCCTTCCCTTCTCCAATCTGTTATCATATAATCTCCTACCTTCTCTTCTCCCCTTCTCCAACCTGCAATCATGTAATTACCTTCCTTCTCTTCTACCCTTCTTCAACCTGTGATCTTGTAAATTTGTCTGTTTGTATGTCCTATCAAGTGCTTAGGATCCATTTAATTTTGATGCGGGTCCGGA